CCCCCGTGTGTCCGGTCAAGCGGCACCTCTGAAGCAGTGACCTAACTCTGGCCTCTGGTCAGGCATTAGTCTGATCTTAAAGTTACAGTACTGTACAGACCTGCTGCTTACTTAAAGCCTGGGGGTGGTAGGGGGTGGGGGTGGAGGTGGACAGGTCTGGAGTACCGCTCGGTCCAGATCGATCGAGTTCATCGCCCGACTAGATCCACTTTGGTATTTCTTGGGTAGCGTTGTTTGTGTTTTTGGTAGGAGTTTTACGGCGCCCGCAACTGCATAAAGATCATATTTATGAAGTCCAGCAGAAAGACAAATAATAATAATAAAAGGTGCAAGTGGAGTTGCAGTTTACTGCAATCCGCAATGATGGCCGTTATATTCCATGAGGCATTAAAAATGTATATTTTTAAAGTATATATTCCATAAGGCATAAACAAAAATGTATATATTCCATGACACATAAACACAATGTATAATTTTAATGTATATATTCCATGAGGCACAAACAAAAATGTATACTTCAAAGTATGTATTCCAAGAGGCATAAACAAAAATGTATATTTTTAATATATATATTCCATGTGGCATAAGCAAAAATGTGTATTTTTAATGTACATGTTTTTAAGGCCCAATTGACACAATATAGAACTTTTAGGAGGCGGACATCGATCCTGCCTGTCAAGGCCAACCCGGGTTGAGAGGGACACAACACACCCCAGTAGAAAAAAAACAACCAAACAGCATAGTACTCGATCCAACAAAAATTCTTTAGTTTTAGTTTGAGTAAGTGTTTTAAGGCACTTGCAACACAATAAAGTCATATATACGTGCCAAAGATTAGAGGTGTTACAAGAGAGTAACAAACACAAAAAAGAAGGAGGGGAAATATTATTATATAGACGATAGATGTTTGATAGGAAAGAAGGAGCAAACCACACCAGAGCACCCGCCAACCACCCACGGTAAAACTGTGACATGCCTAGCAAGTCGGCAGTGGATTATTTATTGCTACAGAAACCAATAGAAGGGGACCAAAACAACAACAACAACAACAACAACAACAACAACAACAACACACACACCAAAAAACAAAAACAAAAAACAACAACCCAACACCAACACCAAACAGTACAGGCAGGTTTGCTATCGTTGCGTAAGCTATGCTGCTACCTTGCTGACTGACTTGTGCGCACGGGGCGAGCTGTGGCCACAAAACAGCTGGTCGGGATCACAGTCAGGCTGACCGAGATTGTCTGTCTCTCTCTCTATTTGTCTGTCCGTCTGTCTCTCTATTTGTCTGTCCGTGTGACTCTTTATTTCTCTGTCCGTCTGTCTATTTATTTGTCTGTCCGTCTGTCTCTCCGTACCTTACCTCGTTCTTTCTCATTCATGCTTACTCTTCCATCTTTCTGACTAATTCACGTACGTGTTCTCTTTTTCTCATCTGTCTCTCCAACTCTCAAAACAATTTTCTCCACCAATAAGTGACCCCCC